TTCTGGCTTGCAGCTATGGGGAGGGCGCTGAAGTTTTTCCCTGTGTTATGGGTATGGGGTGCCTCCATCACCTCTCCCCTCCACTTCTGCATGTGAGACTCTGGCCTTCTTCCTCTGGCGGTGCTCCCGGAATCTTCTCGGCTACGTTGTGTCGTGACACGTTCGTGCCTACGTTCTGCAAGTGAGTTTATGCGGTCTGGCATCTTTTTCGGCCAGGCGTTGGTTCATGGTCTTTGGGGGTGCGAATGTGAGAATGGCAGAACACAAGTGCCCGCAGGGGACCTCTTGGCCCATGCAGGGCAACTCCTTATTGTACCCATCCAGTCCCACTTGTATGCATGTTCAATCCATGCTTGAGTCAGTCCCGAGGCTCCACCTCCACTAGGTTACGAGGTACAATGGTGGTGGTGACTGTTATGAGGTACATGTTACTGTGTCAAGATGTTATGCGGTGACATTTTGATGCGGTTTTGTTACTGAGGATGCGTGTTCGGGTTGGTTGTGGCGTTTTGTTTGGCTCTTGCGTGTTTTCCTCCTGGGGGCCTTCCTAATTTTTTTTTTTTTTTTTTTATTATAACTTTTGCCCCAGGGGCAAGTTTATTGCGCAAAAATATTGTATTTTCTTACATGCTGCTGTGGCGGTGTGCCCACTCATCCTGTGAGTGGGCACACTGCCATAGTGGCGTGTTCAACACTCTCCAATAGGAGGGGAACCCGTTGGGTTGTTCATCCTGTCACTTGATCCTGGATGCAGCTGGGACTTGCTTAACTGTCTCCAATGACCAGCTCCTCAAACAAGGGGATTACCGTCTGTCAACCCTTGGACTCTTACCTTGTTTGTCTGTCCTATTTATTACAATGATCTTCTCTGGGTCACTCATACCTTGCCCGCCTTGACGTAACTGGCTTAGCTCTTCCAGGTATGTTGGGTTCTCTCTACTCCCCTACTTTTCTTCACCTTCACCTTCTTTCTTCTTAGGGAGCCGGTCGGCCGAGCGGACAGCACGCTGGACTTGTGATCCTGTGGCCCCGGGTTCAATCCCGGGCGCCGGCTAGAAACAATGGGCTGAGTTTCTTTCACTCTATGCCCCTGTTACCTAGCAGTAAAATAGGTACCTGGGTGTTAGTCAGCTGTCACGGACTGCTTCCTGGGGGTGGAGGCCTGATCGAGGACCGGGCCGCGGGGACACTAAAGCCCCGAAATCATCTCAAGATAACCTAGTTGTGCTTGCTGGGGTTGAGTTTTGGCTCTTTAGTCCTACCCCTCTGTCACTCACCCGCCATTTACAGGGGCCCTTGTGCTTGTCGTGCTTCCCTCGTTGTGTTTGCGGGGGTTGCGCTCTGGCTTTTTGGTGTCTCCTGTCGTTCGGCTTGGGTCCAGCTTCCTGAGCCTACTGAGCTCTGTTGTATCTACGCTTGACTGTGTGTGGGGTCTGCCTCCACCACATTCCTTCCTCATGCATTCCATTTGTCTCCTACTCTGACGCTGGAATCCTTCTGTCATTTCTTTTGCTCATTGGGCATCCGTTCCACCTGTACGTGTACCCCTTGTGTTTCTTGGTCTGTCTTTGTCTACCCTCTCATTTCCTCTGTGGGTCTGGTGTTGTTGTCCACTCTGGTTCTTCTGTCTCCCACTGTCCTTCGGTTTCCTTCCCGTTGTCTCCTCTTAGCTCATACCGCATGGTTCGGGTGCTGGTCTGGTGGCGCCCCTTGCACTTTTTTTGGTTTGGTCTTGTGTTGGGACCTGACCAACGACTGTGTGTTGTTGGTGTGCCTTTCGTTCCCGTTTGCTGTCCGCCTTTTGACTCCTTTGCCAGGCTTGGATTTCTGGTTCCTGGCTTTCCCTGCCTGTTGGCTTTTTCCGCATTTCGCTGTGTCCCTTCTTCAATGTGTCAGTCGGGGCCGTGGTCTCGGACCTCCTGGCGTGCTCACTGGCGTTGGGATGTTCCATCTCCTTTGCTGGTTTGGGTTTCCAGTTCTGCCTGTTCAGTGGTCGCACCCGAGATCTTCCCGCGGCTCCGCCGTTTCTATGGCTCGTTTGGTCTGTAGCGGGGCTGGTTCGGCTCTGCCTGGAGTCCTGCCTTCTGTTGGTGGTCAGGTGGCTTCATTGATGGTGTCCCACCTGCGTGCTTCTTTTTGGCGGCAGTGTGGGGTATTTTGGAGGTCCTTCCTTTTTCTTTCTGTTCCTTCTTAGGTAGCTGTGTTTTGTTGGCGTGGTCTTGTCCTTCTCTTATGAGGGGTTCGGGGCCGTCATTTTGCCGCATACTGTCGCCTTGTTTCGTGCGGCACTGGCGGAGCCCCTTCTGCTTGAGTTCGGTGTTGATGTTGCTTCTGCGCCGTTCCGCAAGCTGTCTAGTGCGTTGGTTCACCTCCGGCCTGCTCATGAGCCGTCTGAGTCGTCCTGGTAGTTGGACTGGGTGCTCTTTTCTTCTTCTCGGTTTCTTGTGGCCCCTTCGGTTCCGGTTTGTTTCTCGGGGGGGGGGGGGTCTTTTCCTGTTGGTATTAGCCGCTGGGGGTCGGGTTGGTGAGCTTCATGCTCTTCTCCGGCGCTGCGGTTTTTGCTCCTTTGGTCGAGGTGATCGTTTTGTTCTCCTGCAGCCTTCTCCTTCTTTTCTGGTGAAGGATGAGACTGCTGCTTTCCGAAGGGGGGTCCCTGGGCTGTTGATGCTTTGTTGGTTTGGCCCGGGGTGCATCATGTTTTGTGCCCAGTTGTGGCTCTACGCCATTATTGGCGCGCCACGGCTTCTGTGTCTGTGGACGTGCTTTGGGTTGATCCGGTTTCCCTTCTTCCCTGTTCGCAGGTGCGGGTCTCCCAGGTCATCCGCAGGGTTATTAACAGTATTGCGCCCCGGGCATACGCTTCGCGCGTATGCACGAAGTAGGCCTGACAGTGCGAACAAGCAAGCGGGCGAGCGTTCAGCGACACTAAATGTGCATACTCGTTTCAGTTTTCTCACCTAAATTCTTGTGCTATGTCGCTCGTTTTGGTATCATTGTGTTTACAATAGAATTCCCTACAGGTGTATATGCATATAAGGTCCAAAAGCCAAGCTTGACTCCCCATATCAAAGCCTAAATTCGCGGAAAGTTACCCGTGAATGCACAAAATCAGTAAAATGTGTATACTTGTTTCAGTTTTCTCACCTTAATTCTCGTGCTATGTCGTTCGTTTTGGTATCACCATGTTCACAATTAAATTCCCTGCAGGTGTATATGCATAAATTGTCCAAAAGCCCAGCATGACTCCCTTAGCAAAGCCTGAAGTTACCTGTGAACGAGAACCAATTATCACACCCGCAACCTAATGTGTATACTCGTTCGGTTTAATAACATCAATTTTCGTGTTACGTCGCTCATTTTGGTATCAAATTGTTCGCAATATAAAGGCGCGTATTTTAAAACTAGTCTCATAATAATAAAGCAATAACAAGAATGTTAACAAATATTTTAATTTTGGACACTCATCATCACAAAATTATTTATATCTTTCCAGTGTTCTGACATAAAATTTTGTGTTAAATCTTTAATTTTAGTATCAAATTGTTCGCAATGTAATGGTGTGCATGTTAAATCTAGTCCCAAAATAATAGCACAATAAATAGAATTTTAACAAATATTTTAAAATTTTGACCAAAAACGTATTTTTAATCTTTCAAGTGTTCTGACATCAAGTTTTGTGTTACATCTTTCATGTTGATATCAAATTGTGTGCCCTCTAAAGGCGCTCATTTTGAAACTATGCCGAAGTTAATCGGATAGAAAATGAGTTTTATACAAATATTTTTTATATTTGACACGAGGGGTGTCCAAAGAGAGCGATAGTGTTAAGGCTGGTCCGCCTGCAGTCTATCCCCGTGCCCGTGACGTTCGCAGCTCATGCTGCCCTTCTTTGGGACTGAGTCTTGGGCGGACATTCGGGTGTGGGGATTTTGGCGTTCGAACAGGGTCCTGGCTGCTCTTTGCCTTGTTCACTCCTCTGGGGTTGGTCGTGCCTGTGTTGCTTGGATCGGAGGATGCAGCCAGTTGTCTCGGCTTCGGGTTTAGGAGTGAGCAGCGACCGCCTCTCAGATTAGTCCCTATTCTTCCTCTGTGGGGAGTTAGCTCTGGGGAGCCAGAGGGGTTCTTCCCAGAAAACCAGCGTTGAATGTAATGAAACGCCATTATCTGGGTGAGACCCGGAGGCTCCCCGGCATCCCTTCCTCCCTCCCGGTCAGCCGTTTTTCACGCGTTATGACATCCTGCCTCAGAAGTGGGGGTGTGGATCGCCGGCGCGGAAGATCTGGGGCTCCCCCTTCCCCCTCCTGGGGAGGGGGTAGCTGCTCAGATGGCGGCGCGGCGATGGGTGACGTCATGTTAGTTTGCTAGTTTTTGTTTAGGGAGTTTTATTCACTCATTCGACTTTTTGGTTGCAATTTTTACCAGAATAGGGGGTTTGTTTTGGGACGCTTACCTTTCTGGGTGCCTGACCCAGTTGATGGCAGACATAGAATGCTTCCAATCACACGGGAGGTTTTATAGGCCATTGCTCCCCTTGCCTCTCTAGAGGGGGGGGCCCAGGTTCAGGCTCGTGGTCCCTGGTAGGCCCAAAGAACTCCATACTCATGACTGATGCTGACATTAGCATATCAGCCTAGTAAGCCCCGGGGAGCCTCCGGGTCTCACCCAGAAAAGGGCGTTTCATTACATTCAACGCTTTATTTTTTTGTTTGTTTTTTGTTATGCACTGGTGGGTGACAATGGCCACAGGCCACAGCTCCTACCAACACAAGGGTTGGTCAGTAAGCTAATGTCATGGAGCCTCCAGGGCTCCCTTAGAATGTGGCATTTCATTACATTCAACACTGGATTTTTTTCCACAGTAGTTGTGTCTGTGAATGCTGCAGCCTAAGTATTAAGGATTAAGAATTAGTAGAGATGAAGACATTTAATGTACTGGATTAACGAATCAGCACATAACCTGCTTTTATAATGTCTATAACTTGTGTTTTTGTCTTTTGCAGAGATCCTGTTTTCAAGATCCATTATTTGATGGGATTTCTGGTGGTGATTAAATCATTTAGTTTACTCTTCCATGGAGTTAATTACCACTTCATCCAGACAAAGGGTGTTCACATGGAGGCTTGGGCTGTCATGTATTACATCATGCATCTGTGAGTATTCCAAAACTTAATGATACACACACACACACACACACACTTGTGTGTGTGTGTGTGTGTGTGTGGACACACACTTTGGACAATTGGACAAACAATTGGACAGAATTGTTGCTAGGCAGGGAAGTAAATGAAATGTATGCCAAATTTTTAAAACTATACGAGGAAGGCACACAAACATTCATACCAAAACAGAGATGCAGGACCAGAAAACAGGATTGGTTCGACAGAAATTGTGAGAGGGCAAGAGACCAAAAGACACAAAAATGGAATCAGTATAGGAAGAGGCCAAACCCCCAAACATACCAGCGATACAAAGATGCGAGAAACAATTATACAGCAGTAAGGAGAGAGGCAGAAAGAAATTTTGAAAAAGGGATAGCAGATAAATGTAAAACAGAACCGGGCCTATTCTACAAATTCATAAACAACAAATTGCAGGTAAAGGATAATATCCAGAGGTTGAAAATGGGAAATAGATTCACGGAAGATGAAAAGGAAATGTGTGAAACACTAAACGAAAAGTTCCAAAGTGTGTTTGTACAAAATGAAATCTTTAGGGAACCAGATACAATAAGAATTCCAGAGAACAACATAGAGCGGATAGAGGTGTCTAGAGACGAAGTGGAAAATATGCTAAAGGAGCTCGGGAGGAACAAAGCAGCTGGCCCAGATGGCGTTTCACCATGGGTTCTGAGAGAATGTGCATCTGAGCTCAGCATTCCACTTCACCTGATCTTTCAGGCATCCCTGTGTACAGGAATCGTAGCAGACGTGTGGAAACAGGCTAACATAGTTCCAATCTACAAAAGTGGCAGCAGGGAAGACCCCCTCAATTATAGACCTGTATCATTGACAAGTGTAATAGTGAAAGTATTGGAAAAGCTAATCAAAACTAAATGGGTAGAACACCTGGAGAGAAATGATATAATATCAGACAGACAGTATGGTTTTCGATCAGGAAGATCCTGTGTATCGAATTTACTCAGTTTCTATGATCGGGCCACAGAGATATTACAGGAAAGAGATGGCTGGGTTGACTGCATCTATCTGGACCTAAAAAAGGCTTTCGACAGAGTTCCACATAAGAGGTTGTTCTGGAAACTGGAAAATATTGGAGGGGTGACAGGTAAGCTTCTATCATGGATGAAAAATTTTCTGACTGATAGAAAAATGAGGGCAGTAATCAGAGGCAATGTATCGGAATGGAGAAATGTCACAAGTGGAGTACCACAGGGTTCAGTTCTTGCACCAGTGATGTTTATTGTGTACATAAATGATCTACCAGTTGGTATACAGAATTATATGAACATGTTTGCTGATGATGCTAAGATAATAGGAAGGATAAGAAATTTAGATGATTGTCATGCCCTTCAAGAAGACCTGGACAAAATAAGTATATGGAGCACCACTTGGCAAATGGAATTTAATGTTAATAAATGTCATGTTATGGAATGTGGAATAGGAGAACATAGACCCCACACAACCTATATATTATGTGAGAAATCTTTAAAGAATTCTGATAAAGAAAGAGATCTAGGAGTGGTTCTAGATAGAAAACTATCACCTGAGGACCACATAAAGAATATTGTGCAAGGAGCCTATGCAATGCTTTCTAACTTCAGAATTGCATTTAAATACATGGATGGCGATATACTAAAGAAATTGTTCATGACTTTTGTTAGGCCAAAGCTAGAATATGCAGCTGTTGTGTGGTGCCCATATCTTAAGAAGCACATCAACAAACTGGAAAAGGTGCAAAGACATGCTACTAAGTGGCCCCCAGAACTGAAGGGCAAGAGCTACGAGGAGAGGTTAGAAGCATTAAATATGCCAAAACTAGAAGACAGAAGAAAAAGAGGTGATATGATCATTACGTACAAAATAGTAACAGGAATTGATAAAATCGACAGGGAAGACTTCCTGAGACCTGGAACTTCAAGAACAAGAGGTCATAGATTTAAACTAGCTAAACACAGATGCCGAAGAAATATAAGAAAATTCACCTTCGCAAATAGAGTGGTAGACGGTTGGAACAAGTTAAGTGAGAAGGTGGTGGAGGCCAAGACCGTCAGTAGTTTCAAAGCGTTATATGACAAAGAGTGCTGGGAAGACGGGACACCACGAGCGTAGCTCTCATCCTGTAACTACACTTAGGTAATTACACTTAGGTAATTACACACACACCCCCCCACCCCCCCCCCTACCTACCTACCTATATATTATGTGAGAAATCTTTAAAGAATTCTGATAAAGAAAGAGATCTAGGGGTGGTTCTAGATAGAAAACTATCACCTGAGGACCACATAAAGAGTATTGTGCAAGGAGCCTATGCGATGCTTTCTAACTTCAGAATTGCATTTAAATACATGGATGGCGATATACTAAAGAAATTGTTCATGACTTTTGTTAGGCCAAAGCTAGAATATGCAGTTGTTGTGTGGTGCCCATATCTTAAGAAGCACATCAACAAACTGGAAAAGGTGCAAAGATATGCTACGAAGTGGCTCCCAGAACTGAAGGGCAAGAGCTGCGAGGAGAGGTTGGAAGCATTAAACATGCCAAAACTAGAAGACAGAAGAAAGAGAGGTGATATGATCACTACATACAAAATAGTAACAGGAATTGATAAAATCGACAGGGAAGATTTCCTGAGACCTGGAACTTTAAGAACAAGAGGTCATAGATATAAACTAGCTAAACACGGATGCCGAAGAAATATAAGAAAATTCACTTGCAAACAGAGTGGTAGACGGTTGGAACAAATTAAGTGAGAAGGTGGTGGAGGCCAAGACCGTCAGCAGTTTCAAAGCATTATATGACAGAGTGCTGGGAAGACGGGACACCACGAGCGTAGCTTTCATCCTGTAACTACACTTAGGTAATTACACACTTAATCTTAGGTAATTACAAGAATGAGGGAAGGAGATGTACCGTCAGTACTGGATCTAGTATTCACCAGGAAAGAAGAAGAGATATTTGACATCCAGTACCTTCCTCCCTTGGGAAAGAGTGATCATGTCCTGTTAGACATTGATTATGCTTTAACCCTTACACTGCTCAGGGGTCCTGGGGACATTTACACCCCTGTGCGCAAGAAAAAAAATTCAAAATTTTTTTTTCGTCTTCTAAACATGTTAATTTGTGTCCCCTGAGCACGGGAAAAAAAAAATCGTAGGTGACATATTTTGGGCGCAATTGACCGAGGAAGTCTGGCAAAAAGTGGGCGTTGACAGAGCGGTCGTCAGACCCGGTCAGCGTCACCCGCGCTGACAGGTGGGAGTTGCCACAAAGATATTATTACCAAATTGTTTCAATGTCTCCGATTGATTTTTTCTTACTTTTTTTTGCAGTAAAATTATTCAATAGTGTGTATTGTAATATATTTATATAATAAAAGTGGTGAATAATCGCTATACTCAAAAGTATGATGTGCATATTAGTGATTCAATTATTATGTTTATAAAACAATAAACAAATAGTTTTGTTGCTATTACACTCTATACACAGGTTATATATAAGTATCTGCATGTTTTGGTCACCGTAACGAACCACTAAGTTGGTATTGAGAGTCGAAAAGCAACGAAGAGTTACCGCCACACACCAGCCAGCCACTCGCTGCCACTCCCTCAACACGCACTAAACTTTCTTCCCCAACAATACCATTTGTGGTGTTATTACACTATATACAGACGTTATATATAAGTATGTATATATTTTGTTCACCACAACTGTACAGCTAAGCTGATATAGTTAGTTCAGGCACTAAGAGTCGTCGCTATACACAGATGGAGGCTGGCGGCTCCCTCACTCATTCAAGGTCACACGCACTAAACTTTCTCCCCCAACAATACTGTTTGCAGTGTTATTACCCTATATACACATATTATATATAAGTATCTACATCTTTTATGCACCATAACTGTACACCTAAGCTTGTAGTGCGCCCAAAGAGCATAGTGGCCACCCTCTAAACAGCTAGACAAATCGTGCAGATGACGTTACCTTCGTCACCCAAATGGCTCCTCCCAGCATAATCCTTTTGCTGTTATTACACTAATACACACATTATATATAAGTATCTACATTTGTGTTCACCATAGAGAACCACTGACCTGGTATGGTGAATACAAACAATAACAGCTAGCCACACAGTCAGTAAACGATGCTGTCTCCCTCCATCTCTCAGCATCACTCCTCCCACAGCGCTAATTATTACAACAATCCTGCTATTATCACAACCCTGGTTATTTATATCACAGTCATTGGTCATCTGTAATATTGTCATTGCTAAATAATAACAATTATATATTTATTTTGACATTTTTCGGCGATGCTGTGGTCACAAGCTGAACAGCAATGCTGTTCGCTCATGCTGCGTGTGCCAGCCTTGGTTGCTCCAACAGTACTGTGCCTCTCACACCTTAGAATATTGTCCACGATTTTAAAAAAAAATGGCGTCTGTTTACAAGAGCCCTGAGGAAGCTACTGTGAACCCCGTGAAGCTGCGGGCCATTTGAATCGGGCCTGGCACCCTATGGCGTATATATACGCCATGCACACCGTGGGACATGTTACTCAGGGCGTATATATACGCCATGCGCAGTTTAAGGGTTAAATACATGGATGGCGATATACTAAAGAAATTGTTCACGACTTTTGTTAGGCCAAAGCTAGAATATGCCGCGGTTGTGTGGAGCCCAACCACACATAAGCACCTCCAAAGGATACCTGATCAACCAGGCTGTGACTCATACGTCAGGCTGCGAGCAGCCGCGTCTAACAGCCTGGTTGATCAGTCCAGCAACCAGGAGGCCTGGTCGACGACCGGGCCGCGGGGACACTAAGCCCCGGAAGCACCTCAAGGTAGCCTCAAGGTAGGTAGCCCATATCTTAAGAAGCACATCAACAAACTGGAAAAGGTACAAAGACATGCTACTAAGTGGCTCCCAGAACTGAAAGGCAAGAGATACGAGGAGAGGTTAGAGGCATTAAATATGCCAAAATTAGAAGACAGAAGAAAAAAAGGTGATATGATCACTACATACAAAATAGTAACAGGAATTGATAAAATCAATAGAGAAGATTTCCTGAGACCTGGAACTTTAAGAACAAGAGGTCATAGATTTAAACTAGCTAAACACAGATGCCGAAGAAATATAAGAAAATTCACTTTCGCAGACAGAGTGATAGATGGTTGGAACAAGTTAGGTGAGAAGGTGGTGGAGGCCAAAACTGTCAATAGCTTCAAAGCTTTATATGAGAGAGTGCAGGGTAGAAGGGACATCACGAGCGTAGCTCTCATCCTGTAATTACACTTAGGTAATTACACCCACACCCACACACACACACATTTTGTCTGGGGGGAGCTGCCCGGAGCATACTAGGCTGATATGCTAGACTTTGGCATCGGTCATGTGTATGGAGTTCTTTGGGCCTACAGGGAACCCCGAGCCAGAACCTGGCCCCCTCTAAAGAGGCAAGGGGAGCAATGGCCTATAGAAACCCCCCGGGTGGTTGGAAGCATTCTGTCTGCCATCAACCGGGTCAAGCATCCAGAAATGTAAGCGCCTCAAAACAAACCCTTATTCTGGTTAAAATTGCTACCAAAAGCCGAACTAGTAGATAGAACTCTCCAACAGAAAACAAGCAAACTAGTATGACGTCACACGTCGCCCGCCTCTGTCTGCACAGCTCCTCCCTCCCTGGGAGAGGGGAGCCCCAGACCTCTCATGCCGGCGATCCACCCACCAGTTCTTCGGCTGATGCTAAAGGCTGAAGTTATGTGCTCTAGCACCGGTGGTTGTTTCAGCACTGTACCTAGCGTGTGGTGACTGTCTTCTTGGTGGTGCGTGAGCCGGGAGTGATTCTCCAGTACTCGGGCTGCATGTGCCTAGGGTTTCCTTCCCTAGGTGCCCTGTAAGTACTGCCCTTGGGGCTTGGGGGGTTCCCTTTCACAATTCTCTTGGGTTCTGCCCCTTCTAGGCCGTTTACTGCTTGGTTTTTGGCAGCCCTTTGTGTGCTAGGGGGTTCTGTCTCCCTTGTTTGCCTTAGGGTAAGGAACAGTTTGCACTGGTGGGGCGCAGCGTACTGAGCAGCTTGTTTTCACCAGTCATAGCGGCCGGCTCTGTTCCGCCTGGGCACGCTGTCCTCTTGCGGAGTTTTCTTTTTTCTTTTTGTTTGTCTATCTGGTGGGGGGACCTGCCTTGGTTCTTTCCCCCTTGTACTGACTGCTCTTCCTTTTCCGGTGGTTCCCCCTGCTAGGTCCCTGTGAGTTTACACGTCCTGGGGTTTCAGTTCTTAGAAAGTTGTTTGGTAGACTTGGGCGCCGGTAAGTAGTACCCTGCCTGGGATTACCTGTGCGCGAGTCCTCTTATAGTAAACACTCAGGACCCTGGGAATCCTCTAGGGAATGCGCGGGGTCCGATGATTGTCTGTTTGGTTCCTTCGGGGACTCCCACCTCTTGGGTTCGTCCTCCGGGGATCTTCTGTTGGTAGTGTGTCACCAGCTTCCTTTTTGGGGTTTTCGGGGTTCCGTGCCTTGGCACCTCCCCGAGCCTTCGCTCGATGTGTTCACGGATGGGTCATCTCTCGGCTGGGGCTTTGTGACCATTGCTCACCAGGTCGGCTGGGGATGGTATGGTTTGTCTGTCTTGGGCTCACAGCACGGTTCGGGAATTCGTGGCTGTCTGCTTTTTTTGCGCTTCGGAGGGTTCAGGTCATTCGGTGCTCTACCATCCAGCTCCATTCGGACTGTTCTCCGGTGGTTCATTGCCAGAACTACGGGTCAACCCCCGAAGGTCAAAGACTCTTAGGTCTTTGACCTTTGGGGGTTGGTCCCTTCGAGTGGCTCGTTTGCTGGATTCTCAGGGTTTGGTTAGCCGTGCGGTTCATGTCCGGGGTGTGTCCTGCATCCTGGTGGACCGCCTGTCTCAGTTCGTTCCTTTATTCGCGAATTGGCCGGTCGTCGCCGACTCGTTTCATTGGCTCTGCTGGATGTATGGACTCCTGGCAATGGACATCTTCGCGTCGGCGTGGTCTTGGCATCTCCCATTCTACATGGCACCCTTACCCACCTGCGAGGCGTTCACTGTGAATGCCTTTCGGCAGGACTGGTCGAGGTTGGGGAACCTGTTCCTCTTTTCCCGGTCCAGCTGTTGCTTCAGGTTTTGGCTCAGTTAGATTCCATTCCCTAGGAGAGTAGTCCTCGTGGTCACTTGTTGGCCAGCCCAGCTTTATTTTCAGACACTGCTTGATAGGTGTCTGAACCCGGGGCGTTTTCTGTGGCTCCGCCTCTTTTGGCAGGTCGGACCGGTCCTGTACGTGACTGGTTCAGCCTTCTCCTTGGCTCTTCGCGTCTGGTATTTTGACGCGGGTGTATCACCATCTCTGTGGTGATCAGGTGGCCTCGTTGATGGTGTCCCACCTGCGAGCTTCATCTCGACGACAGTATGACGTTCCTGGTTTTTCTATTCGCCATTTTCTTGCTCTTCGTAGGTTGTCTTCTCTTTGGCAACGGGTTATCTTGTCCTTTCTTGGGTTTTTAGGACTGCGTTTTGATGCTTCTTACTGTCGCCTTGTATCGTGCGGTGCTGGCGGAGCCGCTTCGGCTTGCATTCGAGGTGGACGTCACATCTGTCCCGTTCCGTGCGCTTTCTCGTGTTTTGTTTCACCTCCGGCCTGCTCATGCGTCGCCTGACCCGTCCTGGTCCTTGATCAGGGTGCCTTCTTATCTTCTTCCCCTCAGTTTGTGGTAGCCCCTTCGGTTCAAGATTAATTTTCATAGGCCATATTTTGTTGGCATGGGCCTCTGTGGGTCGGGTCGGGGAGCTTCCGGTGCAGGGGTTTCTGCTCTTTTAGTACTGGTGGTAGGTGAGTACGTTTGCAACCGTTGTGAATGTGTCTTTTATTCTTTTATTGACCTCCCAGGAAGGGCAGAAGTCAATAATCATGAACTCAAGGGGTATAGGAATCTGGGTAAAATGCTTGGGAGTAAAAAATGTAATCTTTACTGATTGAGGATTCATGGATAACTCTAATATCCGTAAACTGGAGGACAACACGGGAATTTCTAGCACAGCAAATGAAAACCACAAATATGAATGAATAACACAGCATTAATCAAAGGGAACAGATAACTAAACACAAATAACCTTAATACACTTTATTGTTTAAATCACAGATATTGAAATAAAAATTGAAAATATATCCTACTCTAATAAAATCTTCTACGAGGCAATAGTATGACTAATGATGGACATAATACTCCAGCACACTTTACCTTAAATGCTGCAATCTGCCAACGATGTTGAATGGCTTGCCCTACAGATCAGATCTGTACCCCAGTTGAATCCCCAAGACACACTAACTCCAATTCTCTTAAACTACTCATGGGAGACCTAAGGATTTCCTCTGGAGCTTGGCTTCGGCTAGGAGCCCCAATCAATTCAAAGCAAAGCTGGATATCTTGAAGGCTGGGCCAATGGTTGACCAGGCACTACCCTGGGGGACTCCACCTCTTGAGTCCTAAGCCAACAAGGGCCAAGAGCCTAGCCCCGCCTCTCAGGGCTCAAAGCAATGAATACAAAGTCATACTCTTAGGTCTATTTCCTGCCTGGCTCCGCCCATCTAGGCCTCCCTGAAAGTTATGTTTTAATCCCGTAGAATCATGAAAAGTTCCCACACTACAAGCAGGAAACCAACCAGCCGTTAAGGCACCAGGCCATTTGAGAATACGGTTTTCTGGCTCTGAATTTGTCAGTGGTTAGTGGAGGCAGGAGGAAGAGGGGGAACAGAGTGGGGGGTTAGAGAGGGAAATGAGTGGGAATGGGGTGGGAACAGAGAGGACCAGGGATGAGAGGGACTCTTGACTTCAAGGATATGACCAAGAGCCGGTCGGCCGAGTGGACAGCACGCGGGACTTGTGATCCTGTGGTCCTGGGTTCGATCCCAGGCGCCAGCGAGAAGCAATGGGCAGAGTTTCTTTCACCCTATGCCCCTGTTACCTAGCAGTAAAATAGGTACCTGGGTGTTAGTCAGCTGTCACGGGCTGCTTCCTGGGGGTGGAGGCCTGGTCGAGGACCGGGCCGCGGGGACACTAAAATGCCCCGAAATCATCTCAAGATAACCTCAAGAAGATCACGGGGTCAGACTGTGACAAATAAGAGAGGAGGGGAACAAGGAAGAGTACAATGATGAAGGCAAGGGGAGAGGGGAGCAAAGGAGGGAGGGGAGAGGGGAGAAGCCATGGACTGAGCACAAGATTATTACAGTCAAAGGAATTGCAACCAAGAGTGCTACTGCCCTCACACGGATCCCGCAGCCTCTCCGAGACACAAACCAGAGTTTTACACAATTCCCCCATGCACCTGGCTGTGTCAACAAGTTGTTCTACCTCTTTGCCCTTACTTTACTAACTTAACGTGTATTGAAGTAAGGGCAAAGAGGTAGAACAGCTTGTTGACAGAGCCCGAGTGCATGGTTGGAGACTGGGCCATGAGGCCATTGATCCATGGAACCTACACAAGGCAGACAAGGTAGGTAGACCCATGTACTCTTTACACCATCGTCTTCATATCCTTGAATATCAAGCAATGCCATTCTCAATTTCTTATATTTTGAATTGTACATTCAAAACAAATTCTAGTATTTTCTTCTATCTTGCAGGTTAAAAGGTGCATTGCTCTTCACAGTCCTAGCCCTCATTGGTTCAGGATGGGCCTTCATAAAGCACGTCCTCTCAAGCAAAGAACGGAAGATGTTCATGATCATCATTCCTTTACAGGTATGCTGTGAAATAAATATAAATATACTGTATATACAGTGGAGTCTGTGTAAGAGTTAAATCCATGCCAGAAAATGCAACGCAACCCAAATATTCGTACACTGGATCAAATTTCCCATAAGAAATAATGCAAATTGAATTGAACCATTCCACACACCCAAAAATATTAACTTAAAAATACATTTTATCCAGAATACTACTCATATTTTTTCATACACAAAACTATAAGAAATAAATGTAAACTGGACATAACATAAATGAACATTTAACTGCACATTACCGTTATTGAGGACTCTTGTTGGTGTATGGAAGACTGTGAGGAGGAAGGGAGGTGTTAGTTTTGGAAGGGGATAACCCTTCTATTATAACATGAGGCAGAGATGACATTTCTGGGGTACCCTCCTACATTTTGTAGGCATACCTCTAGGACTTGATTGTGGCTCACCGGTTGTCTCACTGAGAATCTGTCTAAAAGACACTTGTTTCTGTGTGGAGTCCTGGAGGCTCCCTGAATCTAGCCTACAGATTTAGTGCCTTACCACTTGACGTCATCAGTCGCAGAGTTCTTGTATGCCTACTGGGGACCACGAGGGAGCAATGGCTCATTAACACTTTACATTTAAAGGTTATCATCTTGGTATCGACCAGGGAAGCACCCAGAAAGGTAGGCGAATCAAAATAGACTACTACGTGCTTGGTTGAAAAATGCAACCTATACCCTCAAATTATCAAAATAACGCTCCTACAAAGAAAATTAAGAACCAAAACGTCATCCAACTAACCCCTGCTCATTAGCTCCACCTTCACTCTCTTTAAGGGGAGGGGGACGCCAAGTCACAACCAGCCAGTTCTTGACTCCTGTTCATGCCTGACAGTCATTGGATATCTCTTAGCCACAGTTTCCTGTTTTTGTGGTGTTTTGCCTTGTGAGGCTTTTCCTACCCGATAGTTTTCATTGGTCAGGAGGTGACTGAAGCTGCACGCACTTAGTCACCTTCCCAAGGCTCTCCATAAGTACTACACTTGCATAGCTAGGATCTCCTTCCCTGGGAAGGATATCTTGTTCCTTCCCCGGAACATAAATAGAGTATTTGAGTGCCGAAATGTTTGAGTTGGGAGCTGTTTGAATTCACAGGTTCCTCTGTATTTGCATTTACTGTATTTTATTTATTTATTGTATCAATATATTTATTTTTGTGGTCTGAAATAGATTATTCCAGTTTACATTTTTCTCAACGGGAAAAAATTGTTCAGTACTCAAACAGATTAGCATTTGACCGGCCTTCAGAAACCAATTAAGTGTGAGTACTGAGGTTCCACTGTATATACAGTATATATATTAGTTCAGCTTTGGTCACAACATAATTGAAATGCCATAAATTTACTTCAACATGTACAGTGAAGGATTATAAATTGAATTCCAGAAACGTAAATCTCTTCTTATGAAGAGATTAAAATGCTCAATTTACATTCTCTAGTAAGGTGAAGAGTATGGCATAACATGATTAGTTATTATTCACCCAAACCCCATCCTGTGGGCACTAGTGGAAAAGGTTACAGAGATACATAAAGGGCTTAGGGACTGTACCCCAAAATTCATTTACTTATACTCTCCAGAATTCATTGCAAGTTACATTCTTGATATTGATAAGCTTAAAATATAGTTTAATGTCTCAACAATGGATTTGATAATAATCACAAGTATTTTTTCACAGCTAAGTAACTTACATATGTGGTGAGCTAAGTTTTGTTATTTGATTTGCCTATCATGGACACTACCCCCATCCACTGGAGAGCTGGTAAGGTCACAATCATCTACATTTACTGCCAACAGTTTGCAAATTGGGGATATTTGGCTAAAAATTTTGGTAGTAGACCATTTTGAATGAAATATTTACACATTTCATTAACATTTGTTTCTAGGGAAAGCCCCGTCGGCTACCTGAGCTAGCTTACTGATTAACCCCTTAACTGCGCGGCTTCCAAATATGACACCCCCCAAAGCGCAGGAAATAAAATCTCTGGAAAAAAATTATTTTCTGTTTTGAAAGTGTCAAAAACCCTTCCCTGAGTATGGGTATAGTAACAGAAGGTCGAAATTGTACGTACTTTGGCTGCTGTGGGGTCCGTAAGTTCGTGCGTGACGTCATCATTCCCTGGTCGCCCGTGGCGGGCGCCCCCGGGGCCGGCAGGGCGCTCTGGGCAGGATGCGCGAGTTGCCGCGAATATATTTTTGTTCATTTTCTGCGCACAGTTCCAAATACTTTTTATATGCTTTTACATGCCAGTCCTATGTATAATGAACACATACACTATATTATGGCAGTAGAACATCCGTACTGTCCAAACACACTGTGTTACGTGCATGACATGTGTACACATATATGGTACATATTTCCATTGTATCATGCTAATTTATGTATATATACAGTCTATTACTATATATATATATATATATATATATATATATATATATATATATATATATATATATATATATATATATATATATATATATATATATACAGTATATATATATATATATATATATATATATATATATATATATATATATATATATATATATATATATATATATATATATATATATATATACAGTATATATATATATATATATATATATATATATATATATATACATACATACATACATACATACATACATACATACATACATACATACATAGATACATACATACATACATACAGTCTATATTGTTTATATACAGTCTATTACTACAGTCTACGCCCTCACTCCTCCAACATCTTACTTGTCAACATTGCTCCTCCCACTATACTGTTATTGTTTGTATTATTCTATTTACACATGTTATGTATACCTATCTACATGTTTCATTCACCAGAACTATGCAAATAAGCCAGTATTGTGTCCAAACTTTACAGTGGCCACCATACACTGCATGAGAAATCACACAACAGCCAGCAGACAACGCTACGATTACGTCACCTCCCTCACCAAAATAGCTCCTCCCAACATACTCCTGTTGCTGTTATTACACTATATACACTCATTGTATATACCCATGTACAAATGTGTTCCCCATAGCGAACCAGTAAGCTAGTATGATGAGCAAAACAAGAGTGGCCGCCACACAGTGAGGCTACCTCAATTCTCACCCCTGCTCCCCCACCACAATTCCTCCTCCCTCAATACCACGCACAGTGCTTATTATCACCACAATCCTGCTGTTACCACAATACTGGTCAGTACTGTGAACATCGTGAACAACATTGAATCACTAATATTTGAACATTGTACACAGTCATTATCACACTCAGGCTCTTCTGTAATACTATCATGGCTAAATAATACAAGTTATATATATTTTTTGACATTATAAGGTAATTCTGTAGTCACAAGCTGAACAGCAGTGCTGTGAGCTCATGCTGCGTGTGCCAGCCTTGGTTGCTCACTCACTACTGAGGCTCTCACACCCGGGAATGTGGACCACGATTTTTTTTAAAGATGGCATCTGTTTACAAGAGCCTTGAGGAAGCTGATGTGAACCCCATGTAGCCTCGGGAGTTTTGAATGGGACGTGAAAAATACAAATACCTGGAGGCACGTAGTGCACCCCAGACGTGGGCCTGCAGGCGCGTTGTGCAGTTAAAGGGTTAAGTGCCATACTACTTGAGTGTCATCAGTTATGGAGTTGTTGTTTGCCCGACACAGGTGTCGGGGTCAGTGCCGATGCCACCTGCGGTCCAGACTGCGCCTGGTCGGAGTGATGTTCGCTCTGCATGCAGGTCGGGGTCTCGTAAGGGGGCAGTGGCCCTCTCGCAGTTTGCACCATTGATGGGGCAGTGGGGGGGGGAGGCTTGCTCTGTTTGCTCACGCCTGGTCTCATGATTTGTGGGCTTGTTGGGTCGTTTCTCTCGGCCTGTGGTGGCATTGGGTGGCTCCTCCTTTCGGGGGGTTCGGGGCTGACGGGGCAGGCTTCCTCTCCTGCGCTCTGTCGGGTCATCTTGGTGTGGGTGCGTTTGGGCGTGGTCAAAACATCGACGTCTCTCAAGTGGGTTTCCCGCCTGTTTCCAGTTCCGAAACGGGACTGTGCGGACCTGTGGTTCATTCTGGACTTGTCCTGTCTGAACCCTTGGGTTTCTTGCCCCCTCGTTTCAGATGACCACATTGTCCCAGGTCCGGCTTCTTTTGGAGCGGGGCACTTGGATGATGTCCTTGAACCTCAAGGACAGGTATTGGCACGTCCCTATTCATCTGTGGTTCCGGGACTGGCTCGGTTTTGTTGTGGGGCGTCGGAGTTACCGCTTTCGTTGTCTCCCGTTTGGGAGCCTGAACCGGGTTCCCTTCGGTTCAGAATTGTTTTGCTGAGGCTCTTTTTCTCTTGGCATTAGCCTCTGGGGGTGGGGAGCACTTTCATGCTTTTCTCCTGCGCAGTGGTTTTTGCTCTTTTGGTCGTGGTCATAGGTATGTTCATCTGCAGCTGTCTCCCTCTTTTCTGGCAAAGACTGAGACTGCTGCTTTCCAGAGGGGTCTTTGGGTTGTTGATGCTTGGTTGGTTAGGCCGGGGGTTCAGCATGTGTTGCGTCCGGTTGCAGCCCTCCGCCGTTATCTGCATGCCACGACTTCTGTGTCCGGGGATGCGCTTTAGGTTGATCCGGTTTGCCTTCTTTCCTGTTCTCGGGTTCGGGTCTCAGGTCGTCCACAGGGTCATTAAATCAAGCCGGCCTGCGGTCTATTCTCGTGCCCATGACGTTCGTACGTTTGCTGCTCTTGCTGCTCTTTGGCAATATGTCTTGGGATGATATTTGGGCATGGAGTTTTTGGTGGTCGAACAGGGTCCTGGCTGCACGCTACCTTGTGAACGTTCCTGGGCTTAGTCGGGCCTGTGTCGCTTTGGGTCAGTGGTTGCAGCCCATTGTCTCGACTTCAAGATTAGGAGTGGAGCACCAATGCCTCCCGGGTAGGTCCCCTTCTTCTTATTTTGTCTTTGGGGAAGTAGCTCTGGGGAGCCGTAGGGGCTCTCCCTCCAGAAAACCAGCGTTGAATGTAATGAAACACCATTTTCTGGGTGAGTCCCGGAAGCTCCCCACCAACCCTCCCTCCCACCCTTCGGTCGTGGTTTTTTTTTTTTTTTTTTTTTTTTTTTTTTATCCAGCCTCAGAACTAGGGGTGAGGATCGCTGGCGCGGGGGTCTGGGGCTCCCCTTCCCCCTCCCAGGGAAGGGGGGAGCTGCGCAGATATGCAGCGCTGCTCGTGTGACGTCATGCTTGTTTGCTCATTTCACTTTTGGGGATTTTTTTTTTTTTTTTTGAGATATACAAGAGTTGTTACATTCTTGTAGAGCCACTAGTACGCGTAGCGTTTCGGGCAGGTCCCTGGAATACGATCCCCGCCGCGAAGAATCGTTTTTTCATCCAAGTACACATTTTACTGTTGCGTTAAACAGAGGCTACAGTTAAGGAATTGCGCCCAGTAAATCCTCCCCGGCCAGGATACGAACCCATGACATAGCGCTCGCGGAACGCCAGGCGAGTGTCTTACCACTACACCACGGAGACTGTGTAATGAATGTGTAATGAACGAGTTCTATGTAATGAAACGAGTTCTGTCAACTTGTTTGACGATTTTCGTTGTTAACCAGAATAGGGGTTTGTTCTGTCGTGCTTACCTTTCTGGGAGCCTGTCCCAGTCGATGGGAGATATAGAATGCTCCAAATCACATGTGCATTCTATGGGTCATTGCTCCTCATGCCTCTGTGAGGGGGGCCAGGTTCTGGCTCGTGGTTCCCTGTAGGCCTAGAACTCCACCCACATCGACTGATGCAAAATAGTTAGGGTATCCATATCAGACATGGATAGCTCCGGGGAGCCTCCAGGACTCGCCCAGAAAATGGTGTTTCATTACATTCAACGCTGGTTTTTTCATGCTAACTGGTTGTATTTTGTGTGTCAAAGGTGCTGTCTAGTATGTATAAATTGAAAATATAATAAATATATAACATGGATAAACGAGTATAGATATATATATACTGATACTCACATATTTATTCATCATAATATATGTATATATATGTATTATAAGCCTAAATCTTAAAATTGCATATGGCACACATTTTGCCTCAAATATATACATGGTACTCACTCATTTACTGTTGCTAAAAGTATAGTGTCTACTCTATGGCTGTCCTAAATGTTCAGACACTGGATGGTGATGTTGCCAAGTAATGGTCATCATTTTCTTACTTAGGCCCTAGAAGGAAAGTGAGGGACTCGGGATTTTTTTCAAGATGGTGGATGGTTACTGGTGGTCTGAGGAAGCAAATGTGAGCTTTATGTATGTTCAAGACTTTTAAATATTTTAAATATGTAAATCATATATGTATGATTTGCACCATTCCGTGACATTTACTATACAAACATGTATGTTTTGCGCTATTTAAGGGTTAACCCTTAAAGTGCGCATCACTTCATATGAAGTGTAAATCGTTTTACCAGTCAACTGCGCTTCACTTCATATGAAGTGTATGGGTACCGCGCACGATTTGAATGGCCCGCGGTGTAGCTGGGGGTCCCATACGCTGCCCAGGGGCTCTAGTAAACAGCAGCCATTTTGAAAAAAATCCCGCTCACGATCCGAAGGCATGGGAGGCCTCAGTTTAGCGAGTCACCATGGCGAGCGCACGGTTAAACGCCTCACGGGCACGCACCACTCAGTCCCTCACCCCAGAGCAAATAGCCCACGAATTATTCTCTGAAGGTGAAGAAAGTGTGTTTGACGATTCAGACAACGATGAGGATTATACACAGTTGTCGGGTGATAGTAGCAGCAGCAGTGAAAGTGAGAATGACCGCCATGCCATGGCGAGGCCTATACGCTCACCGATGCCTCCTCGCCCAATTTCTACCCCAATTCTACCACGACCTCACAGTTCCTGTGGATATTTTCTGTTTGAGGGTGACGAGTCAGAGGGAGGTGACTCCTTTTCTGGGTTTAGTGACTCAGATCAAAGTTTTATTGAGCCTGTGGCTGGTACCAGTGGTGTAACTGGGCGAGAAATTGTCGCGTCAGCAGCATCTCGCCCGGCCAAGCGCCACCGCATGGCACCACATGAGGGACCAAGACCCTCGTGTTCACGTGCATCCACCTCACGTGCACCCACCTCACGTGCACCCACCTCACGTGCACGTAGCCGCCGTGCTTCTCGCAGACGGTATTCAGCTCCTGGTCGCCGGTATGCATCGCTTCCTCGCCGTCTTTCCTCTGCATCTCGCAGGACGCCTGGTATACTTGAGTGGAGTGATGGTGACGATTTTATTCCTAATATTCCTCACTTTGACGATAAAGATGTAGGGATTACAAACCTTTTCCCTAATCAAGGTGAGGACATGGCTGAGATGGAATATTTTACAGCATTCTATGATGAACCACTCATGGAATACATTGTACACCAAACGAACCTGCATGCTGCTTACCTGATTGAGAGGGAAATCACAGAATTTTCACGACTGCAGCTTTGGAAAAATACCACAGTGGCGGAAATGTATGTGTTTTTGGCACTCTGTTTGTTGATGAAGCACTGTCACAAACATGCAATAAATGACTATTGGAGCAAGGACAAGACAATACCAACACCTTTATTCGGGAAATATATGTCACGAGACAGGTTTCAGATACTCCTCAGGTGTCTACATTTTGGAAGTGTTCAGGACCGAACACCTGATGATAGACTGTGGCGAGTGAGGCACTACATGAACGATGTTATTGGAAAATTCAGAGATTTTTACGTACCAGCACAGAAGCTGGTGGTTGATGAATCTCTCATACTTTTCAAGGGACGTGTTCCATTCAAACAGTACATTCCCTCAAAACGAAACCGATTTGGCCTGAAATTTTTTGTTCTTTGTGAGTGTGAGACAGGATACGTGTTACACATGATTCTGTACTCGGCTAGTGATGTAGACATTCCCGGTAACGACGAACATGGATTCTCGGGGAGTGTAGTGAAGACCATCATGGCTCCGTGGATGAACAAGGGACACATTTTATACACAGATAATTACTATACAAGTCCCTTGCTAGCTCGGTTCTTGCTAGAAAATAGAACCGGATTGGTTGGTACAGTAAAGCCACAACGAAGGGAAATGCCTGTGTTTGACAACGACATTGCAGTTGGTGAGTGTCAGAGAAGGAAAAGTGATAACATTCTGTCAGTTCAGTGGAAAGACAAAAGAGAGGTGAACTTGTTGACAACAATTCATGATGGAACAATGGTGAACAGTGGGAAAGTGAGCCATAAAACAAACGCACCACTATATAAGCCAGACTGTGTTTTAGACTATAATATCAACATGCGGTTGATTGATAAATCAGACATGATGATTGGCACTGCAGAGTGTGTGCGGAAGACATGTAGGTGGACGAAAAAAGTGTTCTTCCATCTTGTGGACATGAGCATGCTGAACTGTTTCAACATGTACCTTGTGAGAACTGGACGTAAGCCCACTTTCCGTGACTTTGTATTTGATGCTGCAATACAGTTATTAGGAAAGTTTGCAAAAGATGTCCCAGGTATTCAGCGGCCCATCATAAACCCACTGTTGCAGCATGCTGGTACTCCACGCCTCGCTCACACTGAAGGCTTCCTAGCACACAAACTTAAGTATTTGCCACCTGGTGTGAAGCGTGCAATAGCCCAACGTGATTGCTTGGTGTGTAAAACAACGACACGTAGAGACAAGAAACGGAAGCTTGTGCAAACATGGTGTGAAACGTGTGGTATCCCATTATGTGCTGTCGACTGCTTCAATGACTACCACAGTCTAGAAATCTTCTAAGTGTGCTTCAAAGTGTGTATAGCGTGTGCGAGTGTGTAAATAAGTAAACATATAAGCAGATAGCGTGTGCGTGTGTGTAAATATATACAAATATAAGCAGAACATACAATATAATAGACTGTAATGACATATTATATTGCCGTAATTGAAAACATTTGTGTGCGCCTGTGTATACTCAAATATGCAACAATTATTGATACAAAATATGTTCAAACAGTATTTGAAACACAATTAGTGAAAAAAAATTAGATAAAATGCGCTTAGACATTGTAAATAAATAGCGCGAAAATATATTTGTGGCAACTCTGGCTGTTTGAGGACCGCGCGCAACACCTCCCGGGCGTGTACTGCATGAGCGAACATGCAGATTGTGACGTCATCACAGAGCTTCTCGGCTCTATTGCAACAAAAGTAAGTACAATAGAATTTTTTTTTTATTTTTCCCGTGATCAGTGAACAGAACTTAACAGATTAGCAAAAAAAAAAAAATTTTTTTTTTTTTTCAAAATGACATGCGCCTGTGCGGATGGCAGGATATTAGATCCCGAGCATGTTAAGGGTTAAGGACCCTGTAGCAGTTTAAGGGTTAAACTTCATCTTCTATTGAATTTACATTAGTCATATTTGGTAAATATAATTTATTTCAGATTATTGCGAATGTAGCCACCATCATTGTGGAAGAAACTGAAGAGGCCAGCCAGGAGCATGCAGCATGGGTGCAGATTCTATTCTTAATAGACTTTTTGTGTTGTGGAGCCATCCTTCTACCTGTTGTGTGGTAAGTCAATATTTTATTACATTTTCCATCTAAAGTGTGTCCTCACTTGAATAAACTACTGCATATGGGGACAAGACCGATTCATCCCATAAGGGATTCTGCTAAACCTAACAGCCCCCAAACTATTAGGTTTAGCAGAATCTTCTCCCTCCAAAACAAATAAAAGTCCTCCATCCACTGTTAAGCATATAAAGGTATATACCAGGAGAGAAGTGTAGTGTAGTGAAATATCCTCATTAACACTATCGCTCGCTTTGGACACCGATCACGTCCATTTTTTTTCTCCTGAGTCCTAGACGTAGACAGGACTTGTGTTCGCTACAAAAATATTTGTATAAAATTCATTATTTATCCGATTGACCTCGGGATAGTTTGAAAATAAGCGCCTTTAAAATGCGCACAATTTGATACCAAAATGAAAGATGTAACACGAAACTTGATGTCAGAACACTTAAACGATTATATATACGTTTTTGTATCTAAATTTTAAATTTTAAAATATTTGTTAAAATTCTATTTATTGTGCTATTATTATGGGACTAGTTTTAAAATGTGTGCCTTTATATTGCGAACAATTTGGTACCAAAATGAGTGATGTAACACGAAATTTTATGTCGGAACACTGGAAATATATAAATAATTTTGATGATGAGCGTCCAAAATCAAAATATTTGTTAAAATTCCAGTTTTAGCTCTATTATTATTTGACTAGTTTTAAAATGTGCGCCTTTATTTTGCGAACAATTTGATACCAAAACGAGCGATGTAACATGAAAAGTGATGTTATCAAACTGAACGAGTATACATATTAGGTTGTGGTGTGCAAATTGGTGCTCGTTCACGGGTAACTTTAGGCTTTGCTGTGGGGAGTCTCACCAGGCTTTTGGACATTATATGCATATACATCTGCTGGGAAAGGAAATGTAGATGTTTATCTCTCAGAATGTTTGGTAATATGTTTATTGTTTGTGATGTGTGTATATGTATGTATTAACACGATGCACTGAACGGGGTGAGAATAGCTTGAGCTACCTCATCCCTTTGTGTGTATTTTACATCAATAAGCTTATTTCAATTTCAATTTCAATTTCTGCAGGGAATTTAATTTCGAACACAATGATACCAAAACAAACAACGTAGCACAAGAATTAAGGTGAGAAAACTGATACGAGTATATACATTTAGGCGTCGCCGCACGCTCGCCTAAAGTCTGTATTTAACAAAAAATCACAGAAAATCTATTTATTATGTTATAATTTTGAACATGGCATATGATAGACCAATCATTGGTAAACAACTTTTCATTAAAGTCGTAACTGTATGACAGTCATAGGTGGGCACAAACATTGGGTAATGGCCTTGATTCATATCGATAAACTTTCTCAATATAAATATTAATTATCAGGAATTTTTCATTCTGACTATGGTATATGATAGTGATCAGCAGCAAACAATTTGGCATAAAATATATATATATATATATATATATATATATATATATATATATATATATGCGAACAAGCCTGAATGGTCCCCAGGACATATGCAACTGAAAACTCACACCCCAGAAGTGACTCGAACCCATACTCCCAGAAGCAACGCATCTGGTATGTACAAGACGCCTTAATCCACTTGACCATCACGACCGGACATAATGAGGTGATAGCCGAGGCTATTTGAACCACCCCACCGCCGGCACTCGGATAGTTATCTTGGGCATAGCATTTTACCAAATCACCTCATTCTTTGGGGCAACACGTGAGGAACACAAATGCGAACAAGCCTGAATGGTCCCCAGGACATATGCAACTGAAAACTCACACCCCAGAAGTGACTCGAACCCATACTCCCAGAAGCAACGCATCTGGTATGTACAAGACGCCTTAATCCACTTGACCATCACGACCGGACATAATGAGGTGATAGCCGAGGCTATTTGAACCACCCCACCGCCGGCACTCGGATAGTTATCTTGGGCATAGCATTTTACCAAATCACCTCATTCTTTGGGGCAACACGTGAGGAACACAAATGCGAACAAGCCTGAATGGTCCCCAGGACATATGCAACTGAAAACTCACACCCCAGAAGTGACTCGAACCCATACTCCCAGAAGCAACGCATCTGGTATGTACAAGACGCCTTAATCCACTTGACCATCACGACCGGACATAATGAGGTGATAGCCGAGGCTATTTGAACCACCCCACCGCCGGCACTCGGATAGTTATCTTGGGCATAGCATTTTACCAAATCACCTCATTCTTTGGGGCAACACGTGAGGAACACAAATGCGAACAAGCCTGAATGGTCCCCAGGACATATGCAACTGAAAACTCACACCCCAGAAGTGACTCGAACCCATACTCCCAGAAGCAACGCATCTGGTATGTACAAGACGCCTTAATCCACTTGACCATCACGACCGGACATAATGAGGTGATAGCCGAGGCTATTTGAACCACCCCACCGCCGGCACTCGGATAGTTATCTTGGGCATAGCATTTTACCAAATCACCTCATTCTTTGGGGCAACAACGTGAGGAACACAAATGCGAACAAGCCTGAATGGTCCCCAGGACATATGCAACTGAAAACTCACACCCCAGAAGTGACTCGAACCCATACTCCCAGAAGCAACGCATCTGGTATGTACAAGACGCCTTAATCCACTTGACCATCACGACCGGACATAATGAGGTGATAGCCGAGGCTATTTGAACCACCCCACCGCCGGCACTCGGATAGTTATCTTGGGCATAGCATTTTACCAAATCACCTCATTCTTTGGGGCAACACGTGAGGAACACAAATGCGAACAAGCCTGAATGGTCCCCAGGACATATGCAACTGAAAACTCACACCCCAGAAGTGACTCGAACCCATACTCCCAGAAGCAACGCATCTGGTATGTACAAGACGCCTTAATCCACTTGACCATCACGACCGGACATAATGAGGTGATAGCCGAGGCTATTTGAACCACCCCACCGCCGGCACTCGGATAGTTATCTTGGGCATAGCATTTTACCAAATCACCTCATTCTTTGGGGCAACACGTGAGGAACACAAATGCGAACAAGCCTGAATGGTCCCCAGGACATATGCAACTGAAAACTCACACCCCAGAAGTGACTCGAACCCATACTCCCAGAAGCAACGCATCTGGTATGTACAAGACGCCTTAATCCACTTGACCATCACGACCGGACATAATGAGGTGATAGCCGAGGCTATTTGAACCACCCCACCGCCGGCACTCGGATAGTTATCTTGGGCATAGCATTTTACCAAATCACCTCATTCTTTGGGGCAACACGTGAGGAACACAAATGCGAACAAGCCTGAATGGTCCCCAGGACATATGCAACTGAAAACTCACACCCCAGAAGTGACTCGAACCCATACTCCCAGAAGCAACGCATCTGGTATGTACAAGACGCCTTAATCCACTTGACCATCACGACCGGACATAATGAGGTGATAGCCGAGGCTATTTGAACCACCCCACCGCCGGCACTCGGATAGTTATCTTGGGCATAGCATTTTACCAAATCACCTCATTCTTTGGGGCAACACGTGAGGAACACAAATGCGAACAAGCCTGAATGGTCCCCAGGACATATGCAACTGAAAACTCACACCCCAGAAGTGACTCGAACCCATACTCCCAGAAGCAACGCATCTGGTATGTACAAGACGCCTTAATCCACTTGACCATCACGACCGGACATAATGAGGTGATAGCCGAGGCTATTTGAACCACCCCACCGCCGGCACTCGGATAGTTATCTTGGGCATAGCATTTTACCAAATCACCTCATTCTTTGGGGCAACACGTGAGGAACACAAATGCGAACAAGCCTGAATGGTCCCCAGGACATATGCAACTGAAAACTCAGAACACTTGGGTGGTTCAAATAGCCTCGGCTATCACCTCATTATGTCCGGTCGTGATGGTCAAGTGGATTAAGGCGTCTTGTACATACCAGATGCGTTGCTTCTGGGAGTATGGGTTCGAGTCACTTCTGGGGTGTGAGTTTTCAGTTGCATATGTCCTGGGGACCATTCAGGCTTGTTCGCATTTGTGTTCCTCACGTGTTGCCCCAAAGAATGAGGTGATTTGGTAAAATGCTATGCCCAAGATAACTATCCGAGTGCCGGCGGTGGGGTGGTTCAAATAGCCTCGGCTATCACCTCATTATGTCCGGTCGTGATGGTCAAGTGGATTAAGGCGTCTTGTACATACCAGATGCGTTGCTTCTGGGAGTATGGGTTCGAGTCACTTCTGGGGTGTGAGTTTTCAGTTGCATATGTCCTGGGGACCATTCAGGCTTGTTCGCATTTGTGTTCCTCACGTGTTGCCCCAAAGAATGAGGTGATTTGGTAAAATGCTATGCCCAAGATAACTATCCGAGTGCCGGCGGTGGGGTGGTTCAAATAGCCTCGGCTATCACCTCATTATGTCCGGTCGTGATGGTCAAGTGGATTAAGGCGTCTTGTACATACCAGATGCGTTGCTTCTGGGAGTATGGGTTCGAGTCACTTCTGGGGTGTGAGTTTTCAGTTGCATATGTCCTGGGGACCATTCAGGCTTGTTCGCATTTGTGTTCCTCACGTGTTGCCCCAAAGAATGAGGTGATTTGGTAAAATGCTATGCCCAAGATAACTATCCGAGTGCCGGCGGTGGGGTGGTTCAAATAGCCTCGGCTATCACCTCATTATGTCCGGTCGTGATGGTCAAGTGGATTAAGGCGTCTTGTACATACCAGATGCGTTGCTTCTGGGAGTATGGGTTCGAGTCACTTCTGGGGTGTGAGTTTTCAGTTGCATATGTCCTGGGGACCATTCAGGCTTGTTCGCATTTGTGTTCCTCACGTGTTGCCCCAAAGAATGAGGTGATTTGGTAAAATGCTATGCCCAAGATAACTATCCGAGTGCCGGCGGTGGGGTGGTTCAAATAGCCTCGGCTATCACCTCATTATGTCCGGTCGTGATGG